TTAATTTAATTAATATATTATTAGTTAATTTATTTATTAAATATAAAATTAATTATAAATTAAACTTACTATTTGATAAAAATATATGCAGTTCTTCATATTTTATTTTAAAAACTTTATTTTTATTAGGATAACTACTTTTGCTTTCAGAAGGGTTCTTATTTGCTTTACTTTTACAGAAATTTAGATTTGCTTTACTTTTACAAGAATTCAGATTTTCTTCACTTTTACAGAAATTTGGATTTGCATCACTTTCACAGATGTTCAAATTTGCTTTGCTTTTATAGGGGTTCAGACTTGTTTCACTTTCATAGAGGTTTGGACTTGCTTCACTTTCATAGAGGTTCAGATTTGCTTCGCTTTCATAGGGGTTCAAACTTGCTTCACTTCACAGGATTCAGATTTGCATCGCTTTCACTTGGGTTGTGATTTGCTTCACTTTCATAGGGATGCTGATTTGCTTTGCTTTCACAGAAGTTCTGATTTGCTTTGCTTTCACTGGAGTTTTCATTTGCTTCACTTACTTCACTTTCAAGTGAACTCTGATTTACTTCGCTTTCACAAAGATTCTGGCCTACTTCGAGTATTTCATCTATTTGCAAGAAAAATGTTGTTTTCTTTGTTGCTGATTTTATAAAAATAAAATCATTTTTGACAATTATCTTTGTAGGTAATTTCAATTTTATTTCCAAAAAATTCAACATGTTTAATATAATTGTTTATGTTAAATATAACTGTTAAGTATAATGAACGCATTAAATTGTTGTTAATATAATCTAAAAAATTAAAAAAAAAAAATTAGTTATATTTTTAAAATAATTAATAATTAACAAAATATGAGTTCGGATTTTGTTAATTTATTATAGAATTATCTAATTTTTAAACAGGTTTAGTTTATATCTATAATTTATTGCACGAATTTTTTTTGATAATGTAATAGATTAACAAAATCTGAATTCAAATTTTGCTAATTATGTAGCTAATTTTACTGTTAATTAGCAAAATCTGAACTCAGATTTTGTTAATTACTATATATAAAATTATATTAAGCAATTAATTACCTAATATAATTCTAT